ATCTGTATAGAATTTTCTTTCCTAACTGACTAGAACAGGAAACTTGGATTATTTTCTCCCTTCGATTATATTAGGGTAAGTAATATACCTTTAAGACTATTACTATATTATATGCAAAATTAAGGTACCACTTTCTCTTCTTCATTTGGTATGTTGTCAAAGATGTGTTTGTTTCCCTCCTTCATCTAATAATGTTACTGCATTTCCTGAAGGGCAGCCTTATCATCCAGGCTCTTCATTATCCTTCCAACCTCCTCCATCCCCAGCAAAAAGGGCTGCATCTGCTCTCATCTCTCTGAATTTTTTACTTACTTTTTTGGAAATCAGATAATATTTGAAATACCGCTTAAAATCTAGCAATATAATGTTTCTTATGAATGCTCCCCTGCCAAAAATCTAATAACATTGCATAAAAAAGACAAAGTAACAATTTTCTTTCTTCAAAACCACTCAGCTATGCAATCTTGAGATCTTTTAGACCTTCAGAAGGTATGATCAGTATGCATAGGAAAAGTCAGGTCTCCTACGTACCTTTGCAAGGGTGCACTGCAAAGCATTAATAGCTGAATTGCCTTGTTAATAAACTTCCATCAAAAAGCCTTGAGAGATAATTTGATTTAAAAAAAGAATAAAAAACACCCAAGCTGAAATATTGCTTTTATAAGCTGCAAGATCAATTCACCATGTGCTTTTTTAATCAACGGAAATATATACATTTAAACAGAAAACACAGATGACTTAGCATTCTCCCATATCATGTCAGTGAGCGTGACTAGTTTCTCATAATTTTTTTTTCTAGTACTCCCTGGTGCTCTGACTTATGGGAAGAAAAACTTTCCATGAAAAATGTGTGCTACTTTTCCGCTTTTGGCCTTGTATGTGCTTCTTCTCTTCCTTAATTACAATATAAATCAATTGCAGAAAAAGATTTACAGCAATCACACCTCACTTAGAGAGCTGTGAAGATTGATCTGGAAGAGTATGTTTGTCAAGTGCTATGTGTACCTCTCCTGTGTGGATCCCAGCATACAGATGGTAGTATTTGAAAAAAAAAAAGGGGGGGGGTAAGTTCTGGTAGATCTCTCTGTTCTCTGCGCTTTCAAAGAGTATACCTGAAAACCTATTCTTCCAAAACTCTAGGGCAAAAGACTTTTCAAATAATTTTTAGCTTTAAATCCATTTACTATATTAGGAGAACAAGTTACCATAGCTACCAAACTCACGCCCAAATAGTCGGTGTGGTCAACCAGGTGGGATGGTAATTGGAACAGAAATTTCCCTGTTTGGTGTGGATTGATTTTTATGAAAGCCATCAAGAATTTATTAAAGACTTAACTATATTCAGGCCACTAGCAATTACTTAGAGAGAGGTTAATCAATCCTTATCTTTATGGAGTTTGTCTTTTTACTAAGGTATGTTCATTCATTAGTGTGACAACATGAAAACAATACACAAATGTAGAATTAGAAAACAAAATTGACACAGCACAATGTGTCCTTCCATCTTTTCACACCCTCAAAAGTTTTGCAATGTGCCCAATTTGGGTCTTAGCTCAGAAACTTGACCTAACTTCCATTCCTCTATTGATAGCTATCCTGCCCCTCCCATTGCAAGGCAGACAGGCAGGCTCCACTCTGGTCTAAAAGACTGAAGAAATGAAAATGGATGCCTTTTAGGTTTCTTCTTGCTGGATTTCTTTGAAAAGTTCTTTTTTTTTTTTTAACTATTTCAGTTAAAAATGACCTCAGTGATTTCTACTTGACGAATTATAATAAAACCCCTAATAAATTATTAGGGCCACTATTTGCTAACTTGTCAATATAATTCCCTTAAAAACATTCTCCTTTTTCCCATCCACACTCCTGAAAAATCATGTTTTCCTGTTCAATTGTTCCCTACTATTATTATTTTCCTATAGCAAAATGCTCCTGTTGAATAGTCAAGGGTCAAAGATATTCACTCCCAGCTCATAGAAGGACTCTGAAAGAAATGTAATCATACTTTAAAAATAAAGTATATTCTCAAATCTAGAAATTAGCTAGTAATTGAAATTATCATCACAGTGTTTTAACTGATGACCATTGAACTCTTTTCTGGCAAACGGCTCATAGAGCATTAATTGCACGTCACATTACAGATCTGCGGAGCTAAGTTCTGTCTTGCCCTTGGGACCGTGAGGGCTAAAGCAACTTTGTAAGTGTCTTTCAGAATTGAAAAAAAAAAAAATCATTAAACCGCAGGAGTTGTATTTGGTCTGCAAAATATGTGTCCCATTGTCCTTTCAAATATCATTTCCTTAGCATATGCAAGGCCCTGTGTTTGATTCCCAGCACTGTAAAAAGAAAACATGCAAAATCACCACCACAACAATAAGAATTTCATTTTCTGTCTTTCATATCCTTATTATTGAGCATCTAACATGTTATAACACTAAGAAGCAATATCTCTTGCTTTTCCCCATGAATCCCTAAGCACCTTCCTGAGAACACTCCCCCAAACCGTTCCTGATATACAGCAAATCCAAAGGGCTTAGATAGGGAGGTTGATTCAGACTTTAATTTTTATGATCTATATTTGCAT